AAGAAACATTCAACTGTCACAGCACCAAAGGAAGAATGGGATGATCTGACTTCAGAACCTGCCTTTTCTCTTTTGGCTGCTTTGTAGACACCTCCCCTTACACCTCTCTTGGTCATAGCGCAAGTTTGATTCAGTGTCGTTGTTATTAAAAAGGAGTTACAAAAAAAAAAGATAAAGTTGATAACTGCAGTTTTGGGGAGAGGCACCTAGGATTTATTTCCACTTCCTATTGTTCTGTGATTTCAGCCTTCACAAAATTGGGAAAGACTATAGAGAGTAGAATGTCCTAGCACGTTTGCAGTAATCCAGGTATCCAATGATACATGTCTATGGAGATTCTCAGTCATCCAGGTCATGGCTGTCCCAAATGTGCTTTTTTCAAGAGGTAACTGGGCTTTCTGGTTTTTCTCTGAAGACGTTTCGCTTCTCATCCAAGAAGCTTCTTCCATTCCTTTCCTTCCATTCCCCACTATCCAATGAGAGCTGAAGAAGCTTCTTGGACGAGAAGCGAAATGGTTTCTTCAAAGAAAAACCAGAAAATCCAGTTACTGTCAGGGTTCCGGCAGTTACTCCAATTAAATCATGAGCTTTGAGCCACACTCCCAAAACTAAAGAGGATTTATTTGAAGCTACCATTCTACGTCTGGCACTAACCTGGGCGTAGCCAACTCTGAGATACGTAATTCACTGTCACCCTTGATCCTGCTTTTCCCCCCACCCCTCTGGGTGTAGAAAAGCATCCATAGCCAAGAGTCATCAATCATGCTCTCCAATTAGATTTTTTCGAGGCAGAAGCTTCAGCCATCTAACCAGTCTTTGAAGAAAATATGAATGGAATGTATTTTCGATTCCACACTGCTGCCTGTTCTTTGAAACTCCCCCCCCCCTTCTTTCTGTTGTCAACTATAAAACATGTATACAAAATGTTTTATGAGCTGACAGTTACCTCTTGAAAAAGCACATTTGGGTTATCCAATGATATTTTTTACATTTTAAAAGTATCAAAGTCTAACTAGAATCCTAGTTACTACAAGTAACCTCGACTTACAACCACAACTGAGCCCAAAATTTATGTTACTAAGTGAAAAATTTATTAAGTTTTGCCCCATTCCAGGGTTTTGCTCCATTGTATGACTTTTCTTGCCACATTGGCTACTTTGAACAGTCATTAAACTAACTGTTGTAAGTCGAGGAGTACCTGGTATGTACTATGTAGCCTTATTAGCAAAACCATTCAAAAATGCTATATTTTTTCACGTTTCATACACAAAGGTGTGTCCAGCTCAATTAAGAGTTGAGTAAATAAGACTGCAGCTCATGCTCTACCACCATTGCACAATTCAAGAGAAAGCAGGAATCCCTGCTTTGACTTATATTTTTTAAAAATAACATAAGGTCTCCAAATTATGCTTGAATCCTGCTAACCACACTGTCGTTGTTTGTTTTTGTTTTTTTGGACAATGCACATGCCCTTAGCCAAATGCTTGCTGAAAAGGTTGACTAGAGGGATGCAGATATGGTTCTAGCTGCCTGAAACACCCAATCAGAATCTTTGTGATCACATCCCTTACCTGACTGCTTCCAAAGTAATGATAGAGAAGAGTAACAGATTGTACCTTAAGGATGTCCTCAGAAGAGATTGACATTAGGGGGAAACAGTTTAATATAGTCTCACTTGGAGATGGGAAATAAAATTGGAGAAATATCATGCAGGCAAGGGAGGAAATTGCTTTTGTCAAGAAAAAAGTATGCTATGGTTAAATGCAAGGAATATACAGCCATAGATAAGTCTCATACATCACATTTCGCCATCCTATGAGTCACCTGGTTTTGGCTCAACATATTGCCCTTATAACGTAACCATATTAAATGGTAGAATTAGATGATGGAAAACTATAGCCATGAACCTCATTTTAGCTGCCTCTTCTTTTCTAATATTTGGAGTGGGAAACACATTAAAACTATAGCATAAGTCCTAAAAGAGGTATAACAATTTTGTATAGTATTTTGCAAAAGTTGATAATAAATCACCCTAAATTCTTAAAAGTCAATGAAATAATCCTGGTCACATCTATGTGCATATTGTACCACTATGTTTGTGCCATTCCCCCATCTTTCATGGTTTTTGCATTCCACCAAATATTAAGTATAACTTTCAACCACAAAAATGCCCCTTACTTTTTGACTTAGCATGAGGGATGAATGCAGGTACACAATTAAAATTCAAGAATTCTGAGTCAAGGAATGAACAGAGGACCTAGAGAATTCACAGCCCTACATCCCTACGCTCTTAGTTAGCTCAAGCTGTGTTTACTTCATCAGGATATTTAGAGCTAGTGGGAAGTAATTTCTTGCAGCTGTACATTTGGGGTTTAAAAATCCTTGCCAATCTACTGTAAATTGATGACTAATTTACTCTCAGACTCAGATCAACCTTCTGCTCAAGTTTAGAACACAGAAAATAATTTGCTTTTGCTCTGGGCTGCTCAACTCTATGTTGGATATAGCAGCAAGAACAGACACATTTTTTTCCTTTGGACTTGCAGGCCAAAGAAGGGGTTAAGATATTTTTAAATCAAAGAGACCATTATACCTGAATAAGTAATAGCGTCTTTAAACTTCAATAATACTTGAACCAAAACCAACCTGAAAATATTCTAAAGGCACAACCTGAAAATCTATTCCTCAGGGTCACTACCCTTTTAAAGCATGAAGATTGCAGACACATCTCTTTTACTGAAGTGTACTTAAATTATAAAAAGGGCATGCGATGTTCAGATTATGGTACACAGCAAAGTAGTGTGTACATACACACATGCATACACACATATAAAATATTTCATGATCCTTTTAACCAGAACAAAATTTGCAAAAGGTATCTAGAATTGAAAATTAGGGAATCTCTGAATGCATTCAGAACTCAATTTGTTAGGTACCCGAGTTAAATAGCACGTGAATTCACTTCTAATTACCCTGAGAGTCATAAGGTCTACTGCACATTTTATTAGATCTTTTGCTTTTTACTCAGCTTCAGTGTGAACATTTGCATCAGTCTACATCTGCATAAAGAATCACTATAAAGTTGATGTCTTATGTCTGTTTTCTACATTTTGAGAACAGCAACAAATCTAATTAAAATCATGGATTTGCAATATAATTTAAACTTTTTTTTTCTTTCCATTTAGCAAATGGGATAGTCTCAAATATTTAAAGACGTACAAATGCCTTAAAAACCAAAACAAATTGTCTTTACTGCTCTTAGACAATTTGGGAATATTAAAATCAGTTTGTTTTCAGCTTCTTTTCTTTAAAAAAAAAATCCTCAGTATTTTTTGATAATAGCTAACATAATTTGCCTCCAGGTTACTTTTTCTGACGTTTAACATATGTAGTAATTTTAGCTCCATAGTTTTGCATTTTGGGAACACCACAGTCACCTTTTAAGCAAGCGCCAGACAAGGCTTTTTCCACGCTGCATTTAGATGTAGAAGTATCTAAGATTTTCCTTGTTAAGACATTGTCTAAACAATGCAACATCCCTTTACTACTTTTTTTTTTGGGGGGGGGGGGCGGAAAACAATAATAGCACATTTTCTTAGTGCTCTTTGTCCATTTGTATCACAAAGGGCAAGGCTGCCCTCTAGCGAAGCCACCTTGTAACTAAGTGGGTAATATGTATATTTGGGTCTCCTGGGACATTATACTAGAGCACTGAGGAGAATAATACCCTCCTCCATGCTCCTGTAGAAAGTACTGAAGTACTATTATGTAAATCAAACTCTGGTTCATTTAATTTTCCCTGACTGAGGGAAATTAACATACTCATCCCCAAATCTTTCAGAAAAAAAAGAGTTAGCAGCATTCTTTCCAAATTCACGATGGAAGTACAGCAGACCAATTCTTTATCTAGATTCTCCCACCCCAATACTTTTTAAAAGCTTAACTTTCCTTAAAAGAGATTATGTTTCAAGTATTAAAAACCTTCATTAAATTATATAGACAGATGCATCAGAAAATTTACCATACAATATGCTCTTTGCATAATGATGTCTGCTTTCTGCAAGCTGATAAAAAAAAAATGACACGCAAAAAGCAAAGCAAAAAAAAAAACTATTAAGTGAACATTTTGAAATGGGGCAGATTCACATCCCTTGAGCAGCTACAATGCTGAATTGTTTCCTGCTGTTTTGAAGTGTGTGCTTATTTGAGTGTGTGTGCCTGTGCCTGCACTCAGAAGTCAGTGTTAACTCCTGCTAACTGTCTGGACAAGACCTTGGCTTATCTTGGCAAGATAAGTGCTTTGCCATTGCCTGCTTCCTGGGCTGAGAGGGCATGACTGGCCCAAGGTCACCCAGCAGGCTTCTTGCCTAAGGTGGGACTAGAACTCATGGTCTCCTGGTTTCTGGGCTAGTGCCCAGAACCTAGTGCACCTCTATACCAGAGGTGGCGAACCTTTTCGGTGTGAAGTGCCGAAACAGGAATGCATGCGCACATGCACACGCCAGAAATTGGAAGAGCAGCTCCCTGGCGCACTGAGTAGGAGCCTCAGAAACCGGAAGCTCAGTTTCCCGACGCGCGCATGCATGCCGGCCACCTGGACTTACAGTTTCTAACGCACATGCGCATGTGAAGACCAGCTGGCCGGCGCTGGAGTGGAAACACTTAAAAAAATACATAGCAGAAGCAGAAAGGGGTTTCCCTGTGTTACAAGGCGGCTTTCTGGGGAAAAAAAATCAACAGATGGGATACCTCAGAATGAGATCAGCCCACACAATTCCATCTTTCAGAGCTAGGATACAAAAACAACTATATGCTGTTGCCAAATTTTCTTAATAAAGCCAGGTAATAAATGCAAAACTAACTAGCTAACGTGTGGGTGTGTGCGTGTGTGTGTGTGTGTGTGTGAAGGGATGCTTGTTTTACTGTAATCAAGAATTGGAGTAAACTATATTATGAAGACAACCTGTCCTGTCCCTTCATAAAAACCCTGGTGACATTTCCATGCAGGCATATCTATTTATTGTTGTATGCTCAGACTCAGTTCAACCTCATATGCAAACCACATTCACACAAACCTCATTATATAGCACTGCAAACAACTGGAAGGTTTTAAAATTTTTAAAACAATCAGAAAAGGTTATAATAAATAAATAGTTTATGACATTACAGCAGAAGCTGATTGCTTAGGTCTGTCCTCTAAAGCAAAGACTTGGAGACTCACAGACACCAAATGAGATTAATTCATTTCACATTCAGTCTTGAATAAATCAGTTCTTGACTGAGTCTTGGCTAAGATAGTTTCTTTCATCATGCAGTACAACAGACTAAACCAGTTGTTCAGTTGAACTGGAGTACAGGAAAAAAACAACAAGAAAAGGGATTTTTCTTCATCATTCGGTCCACCTGGAGTAGTTCAATCAGAGTTTAACTGAGAAAGATGACCCACAAGAACAACCTTGTTCTGCCTGTGGATTGTTCACTATTTGGAAGGAGCTGCGAATTAGCTCCTGGTTGAAGTCCACCATTGCTCCTTTCACAAAACTTAAGCTGTCCAAGTCCACCACCACTCTGGCACCACTTTTCTCAAAAACTCTGGAAAAAGAGCATAGACAACACGTCATGGTATTTGCACAAATCCAAAATATTTTAGCTGTAGTTTTAAACTCCAATTCATGTGTAAACAAAACATTCACAGGAGGCTGAACATTTTTTAAGAATCTTGTCCAGTTACCCTAAATTTTGTTTATGATTTGTTGTTGCATTATTTTTAATTGTTTTGAGTCGTCTAGAGATACACATTTAGAAATGAGTATTTTATAATAATAGAAAGGCTACCTGAATAGAGCAGTGACAAGAGAGCTCAAAACAACTTAAATTGAGTCTCCTCCATCGAATTTTATCAATCAGTCTCACCCTATGAAGTAGAATAGGCTGAGAAAGAACTATTAGCCCAAAGTCAGCCAATGGTGCTCCACAATTGTGTAAGGACTTGGCTCTGGTGTATCCAGGTCCAATACCCTCCCCCCAAATAATTAAATATATTTTGCTATAAACCCTGGAAATGATATGTATATGTCCAACAGCAGAGAACAGTAAAATATGAATTTTGGGGGGAAATGAATTGTTATTCAACCACCATCCTTCTCTGTCCACAGTTCTACAGTTCTCTCATCTGTCACATACAGTTTAATCTATGCGCTCACCTGTCATCAGAATTGACAACTGTATCCAAGGAAAATTTATATTGGAAACCTGAACAACCACCTCCTTCTACCTGCAGCCTGAGAAACTCAGACCCTTCTGCAATCTCCAACAGCCTCTGTCAATACAGAAAGGCAAACATTTGTGAGCAATGTTTATTATCCATTTGAATTAAACTATTAATGGTTTCAAAGGAACGATGAGCACAAAAACAGAATTCAGGTACAGAATGCCAAGCAAAATTAAGTCAATCAGACTGGCAGCATTTTGGTTTTGCCACATGTTCTGTGTGCCTAATCTAGTAAGTGAACGTCTCAATGTAGAAACAAATAGCAGAATCAACCTTTCTAGCTCTTTGTTGCCTTTAACTAAAATCAGACTGAACTTTGTCCTGTTTTATCAAACCTCTGTGGTAGTTAAAGCAATTAGGACAAAACGAATGAGGTTTATTGTAGTTTATTCACATATGTCAAGGGATTTTATTTGAGAGAGCACACTAAGACAAATGTATGGCTTATATTTATACTGTGCAATAAGCAATTATTCTTATATCAAACTAGTCATCCTTGAAGGTTATATTTCCTCAAAGTATTCTTTGATTTCTTGAAGTGTAACAAGATGCCTCTTTATTCTTAAGCATGCAATACAGGTAGCCCTTGACTTACAATCATTCGTTTAATAACCCTTCAAAATTACAACAACACTAAAAAAGTGACTTACAGCCATTTTTCACTATTATGAGTGTTGCAGCATCCTCATGGTCATGTTACTAAAATTCAGATGCTTGCAATTGACTCATATTTTTGACGGTTACACTGTCCCAGGTTCGTATGACCACATTTTGCAACTTCTGACAGGCAAAGTCAATGGGGAAGCCAGATTCACTTAACAACTATCATAGTGGAAACTTAACAACTTGTAACAAAGGTCATAAAATGGGGCAAAACTCACTTAACTATCTCGCTTAGCAACATACATTTTGGGCTCAACTGTGGTCATAAGTCAGGGACTACCTGCATTATATTTAACTTTCTTTTTCTTAACCACTGCTAAAACAAATGTTTTGAAACTTTTGTCCTTAGAGATTATAATTAAGTAACTACATTTTGCCCAGTTATCCCAGTTACGCATAATCAGACCACAGTTTCATATAGCTTTGTACACGGTTTATATTGTGGCTATGCTGCAGAGGCATTCCATTCAGCATCTGAAGTGGGTAAGAACACTCTGGATGTGACTTAGGAATATATCTGCTGGCTACTCCTTATGGATCGGTGTCTATGGTGGGGTGGGAGGGGGCATGGTAGCCAGGCAGCTCAGGAAAGTAAGTATTTCTGTTAACCTAAATACACTGCTTTCCTGAGCTTCTGCTGTCTCAGAATATTATCCAATTAAACTGCTGTGCCCCTGTGAAAATCCAAATAATCCTTGCTGTTTTCAAATATAAACATTACATACTTCTAATTTGTATCCTTTGGATTGAGTCAAACATACATTTATACCTATATTTCTCTATGACAGATTCATAAAATGGTGCAATATGTGGGCACAACAATCAGCAGTCTATACTGTACTCCTGGAGGCATCCAACGGCTACATAGGTCTGGGGATCTCCAGAGAATCATACCTTCACACAGCTCTCACTGAGGTAGATCTGCCCATTACTAGAATAAGTTTGGGTCTCTCCAGAGGCAGAGGATGCTATCCACTGTGTTCTTATCCTTGACATACAAGCTCTGTTTTTAATGGCACAGAACGGACTTCTCATTATCTGCCAGACAGCAAGAGAACAGCTACATGGAAAAGATAAGAATGGAATGCCCTTGTTAGACAAATATTAGACTGATAATACACAAAATTGATGACAGTACAAAAGTCATGAAAAAAGGAGATAAGATAAATATAAACAAGAAGCTTGAAACCTCAGGGTTAGCTAGCAAGCAGAGACTGGGATTGCGAGAACTATGGCCTAAGTACTAAAGTTGTAGACCCTTAAAAAGCCTCCGTGACACCATTTTGATGCATAGACATCTGATAAAAAATAAACTTCACATTACAAACCACAACCTTTTAACTTGCATCCTTTTCTTATAATTTTAATTAGCATTTATTGTAATATAAAATAAAATACAAATGAAAATAAAGATCAGAAGAAAAAGGGAAAAAGCATGCAAGGAAAAAAAAGAAAAAAGAAATGTTCTCCAACTCTTTTCAGTGCAGTAGAATACAAAATACAATCAAAGCCTCCATATTTTTTTTTACATTTCTAATATTTCTATAACTTTTCTATTTACTTGAATCCTGACATCAGATCCAAGTGTCATTTTCACTGTTCTGATGCAAAATGATGCATGATGGATGATATAACATATGTTGTTAAAGGGGGTTTATATGACTTTCTGTTTGAGAAAGAAGGTAGGAAGGAAAGCAAATGACATGAATTCCTTCTTTGCTAGCCATTTATTTAATAGGAAAGGGAAAAGAAATTGAGGTAAGGATCCTTTCACTACAGGTAAAAAAAAACAACTGTGATAACTATACTCTGAGTACATTTTTAAAATCTAAACTGCTGTGTTCAAAGCAGTAGTTAAACATCACCAGGTTTGGGAATAACACATCAAAGGCCTATGTGTATCCTAGGGTGAAGTCATTGTATGCATTTCCTTCTGTGTCCTTCCTATATTTATTCCACAAAGACGCCTTTTTCTAACTAAGTATTAGTGAACGTATTTGCTTTGTAAGTAAACTTGGGGGAAGTCATAGCGATCTTTTTTTTCAACAGCTATAAAATTATTGTAATAATATTTGTGATAGAAGGACAAGCTGTTGCCTATAATAATTTCATCACAATTTTAATAGTTTTCCTGAAATAAAGTAGATGCCTATGAACATTAGAGAAATAATTGTATACTATTGACTGAAATGAGCAGTGATTTTTTTTTTTCTCTCACTGGACAATTTCAAATGCAACAAAAACCAAACAACAATCTACAGCTATTTCTTCTACAGGTAGTCCTGTGTTTGTTTAGTGACTGTTCAACATTATGTGACTTATGAACATTTTTTCAAAGTGACAACTTTTGTAGCATCCCCATGGTCACGTGATCAAAATGCTGGTGCTTGACAACTAGTTCATACTTAAGACCTTTGTTGTGTCCCAAGGTCATGGGATCACGGTTTGTGACCTCCTGACAAGCAAAGTCAATGGGGAAGCCAGATTCACTTAACAACCAGGTTACTAACTTAGCCACTGCAGTGGTTCGCTTAACTACGTGGTGAGAAAAATCATAAAATGGGGCAAAATTCGAATGTCTCACTTAACAACAGAAATTTTAGGCTCAATTGTGGTCATAGGTTGAGGACTAACTGTAGTGTGCTGCTGTCATTATCCATATGACTTGAATTTTGCTACTCTTAGCCTCAATACCATCTCCAGACAGTACAACTTATAAGGTTAATAGTACAAAAGAATGCTGCGTTTCACCTGCTGTGTTTCTATTTTTCTTAAATCTTTTTTGTGCTTCCCCACACTATTTGACGTTTCAAAAACCATCTTTGTGAGGAAGTATTATTACAGCTCAGTGTACAGGTAGTCCTTGACTTAAGACCACAATAGAGCCCAAAATTTCTCTGGCTAAGCAAAACATCTGTTAAATGAATTTTCCTCTACTTTATGGCCTTTCTTGCCAGTTGTTAAGTGTATCATTGCAGTTAAGGTAGTAACATGGTTATTAAGCAAATTGGGCTTTCCCATTGACTTTGCCTGTAAGAAGGTCCCAAAAGGTGATCACATGGACCTTGGGACACTGCAACAGTCATAAATATGAGACAGTTGCCAAGCCTCTGAATTTTGATCACATGAGCATGGGGACAGAACAGAACAGAATAGAATTCTTTATTGGCCAAGTGTGATTGGACACACAAGGAATTTGTCTTGGTGCAAATGCTCTCAGTGTACATAAAGGAAAAGATACATTCATCAAGAGTCAAGAATCATAAGGTACAACACTTAATGATAGTTATAGGGTACAATAAGCAATCAAATCATACTAGGAAACAGTCAGTATAATGGTTGTAAGTGTGAAAAACAACCACAAATCATTTTTTCAGTGCTGCTGTAAAACTCTGAATAGTCACTAAATGAACTGTTGTAAGTTGAGGACTACCTGTATAGTCTTCCTGTGTGTCAGTCCTTTCAGCCATAGATTTAAAATTTCTAATGAATTTGTCTAGAGTGTTGAAATTGAAAGCACTACAATTCATTTCATTTCATTTTAAAAACCAACAAGCATAGAAAACAGATCCGAAACTAAGTTTTATATAGCTGGAAAACATGAAACATTGTACTGAAAGTACAATACTACTGCATGAATGACACTATTGTTATAAAAAAAAATCTGCAAAATAAGAAGGGGCAAACAATTTTGCATTTGGCTATATTAACCTAACAATGGCTTAACTTTTCAAAGCATTGAATTGGCACTATGTAAAATAAGCAATTAGTTATAATTGGGTTAATATTTTTATCTAAAGTTACATGAGCGACAATTGATTTTTTTTTTTAGTATCTTTCAGTCTTATTGCATCTACATTTCACCCCACTTTAATTCATACAGAACAGTGATCTCAAGACTACTGACTCAATAGCAGAACATACACATCGCACTATAAAAGCTTGGGTCTTCAGGAAGATGCAGCTATTGTAAGCTTTATGGATTTTACATCTGTTGCTTCTATTAAGAAACAAAAGTTTTTTCTATGGTTGAGATCCCCCTTCGCCTCCAAGATACTCTTTCGAAGTGAAAAGCCAGATCAATGCCCAAATCCTTCCTAGGGCAGCCTTTTTGACTGCTTAAGAACGAATTATTCTGACTCACGAACTGGGAAGGCTGCTTGTCTACACGATGGGAAATACTGAAAAACAAATTAACTCCCCTCCCTCCCTCCACCCCCCATCATATCAAGGCTGGAAGGAGTACTGTAATAAACACATCGACTCCTCACACCAAAAAAAAAAAAAATCCCACCTGCTCCGCCTGCAAGAGCTCAGCACCCTAAAACTACCGAGCGCCGCTAGTGCCGCCATCTTCAGCATTTATTTCGCGTCGCTATTGGTGGAAACGCATCGTAAGGCTTCGTCACGCCAAACGCCAATTGGTCCGCGACACTGGAGAGGCGGCTTCCCTTGGGTCGGAAACAGGGATGAAGGCGGAGGTGGAGTCACGTGGTCAAAAGTGAAGTCAAGGAGAAGTAGGGCGGAAGTAATTGGAAAATGCAATGTTTATCGGCTGTTGCTAATTGCTGTCCAGCATTATCCACTAATTCAGTGAAGATGGTCTTTGTTGTTGCTTTGTTTACCCCTAAAAATTCAATTTAATCCCCTAAAAAAGCAATTTAAATCTATTCAGAACGTTTTTCTATTAAACATTCCTATCAAGATTTTTGCTAATAATTTTCTTTTTTTAGAATTAATGGCAGTCTGAAGATTACTATTGCAGCATTACAAATAGATACTAATTCTATCAATTCAATGCAAGTTCGATTGTCATCAACTGGGATCACTCCTAAGATAATGTAACCTGATAATACTGCACAACTTTATTCTGAGATAAGATTAATGGGAGTTGGGTGGTGGGTTTTTTTTTGAAAGGCCACAGGCTCATAGCCTAATATTTCTTTACCAAGGAAGGATGTGCGTGTATGTGTCCATGCGCTGTAACTTTTTATGCAAACTTTATACAGCTTTTCAGGCTTCCATTTTTTTTCAACACAAATGATGAATGCCTTTATCTTCAAATCAATTTTTGACTCCTGGCACCTGCTTGGCAAGATTTTTGGGAAGTGGTTTGGCACTGCCTCCTTCCTAAGATTGAGAGAGAGAGCTTAATCCAGAGTCACCTTTCTAGCTTCACGCATAAGGCAGGACTAGAATTCATGGGTCCTCATTTCTAGCTTAACACTACACAATACGAAACTGCCTCTCACTGTATACAGTAGCTCTCTTGTAAAACAGGAACATTCTAATGTTCCTGTTTTACAAGAGGTGGAGGTGCACTGTATGTAAAAGACCACTATATTGCTACAGAAATGCATGAAACCAAAGATGAAACCTCCTAGAATGCATATGGGTCAATATAAAAGAAAAAAAGAATGACATGGCCATAGGTGTATATTATAGGCCACCCAATCAAGCAGAAAAAATAAATGTCCAACCAACTAACAAAACATATGCAGAAAACACACAACAATAGTTATAGGGGACTTATGTAAAATCATCTAACCGGTAGGTACACCGGTCAGATCCCACCCCTGGTTAAATGTGGTTGACTCAGTGATTTGACAAGCTTAGTCAGCATTACTAATTTATAAAACAATAAATAGTTGCTTAGGCAAGTAGGTTAATTCAGCCATTTGTGAATAAGTTGAGTATAGATTAATTTCGCGTACAAATTCAGCCAGTTATGACAAAAACTTTGTCCCAAATTCATCCTTGGCAACTGCACCTTAATTTTGTTCTTATATTCCTTAAGCTCAGTGAAAGCTTTCTTTATCTAGGTGAAAGGGATACGCTGAACATGCAAAGAGAAAATAACTTTAACAATATGCTGCTTCTTGCTGATTTGACAAGGCCAAAACATGGAGGCATTTTTTGAATGACCCTCAAATAATCTGGTTATCGTATTTGTGTAAAAGACAGGGCAAGACGCCCATGCCTGTCCGAACAAAGAAGCATTTCTAACCTTGTGAATTAAGCTAAAGGTTTTCAGAAGCTAAACACTGGCAGCAACATCCAAATGACTGACTCAGGACAACCAATGCATTTTAATGGAGACACTGTGTAGTCCAAATCCGTTGAAAGGAGTTCAGAAAAAAACAGATCTGCAATCAAACCACTCATTATGCAAGTCAGCATCACTGGTAATTCCAGCCATGCAACTTCATTCCATCGGTAGCTTTTAGTTGCAGCACAGCAGATAATATTGATGTGCCTTTATTCCCAGAACATTTTCTTCAAGTACCAATTTAATCTTATACAGGCAGTCCTCGACTTACGACCACAAATGACCCCCAAATTTCCGTTGTTAAGTGAGTTTCCCCCCATTTTATGACTTTTCTCTATTGTGGTCTTAAGTTGAGAACGACCTGTACAATGAGCTGTAACTTTACTTCCTCACGGAGACAGTGTTTTGAAACATCAAACAGTGCAGGGAAACACAAAAAATATTTAAGAAAAACAGAAACGCAGCAGGTGAAACCCACCATTCTTTTGTACTATTAACTTTATAGGTTTCATTGTTTGGAGATGGTACTGAGGCTAAGAGTAGCAAAGTTGAAGTCACATGGAAAATGATAGCAGCACACTACAGGTAATCCTTGACTTACGACCACAATTGAGCCCAAAATTTCTGTTGTTAAGTGAGACATTTGTTAAGTGAGTTTTGCCCCATTTTATGTTTTTTTCTTGCCACAGTTGTTAAGTGAATCACTGCAGTTGTTAAGTTAGTAATCTGGTTGTTAAGTGAATCTGGCTTCCCCATTGACTTTGCTTGTCAGAAGGTCACAAACCGTGATCCCATGACCTTGGGACACAACGAAGGTCTTAAGCATGAACTAGTTGTCAAGCACCAGCATTTTGATCACGTGACCATGGGGATGCTACAAAAGTTGTCACTTTGAAAAAATGTTCATAAGTCACATAATGTTGAACAGTCACTAAACAAACACAGGACTACCTGTAGAAGAAATAGCTGTAGATTGTTGTTTGGTTTTTGTTGCATTTGAAATTGTCCAGTGAGAGAAAACAAAAGAAAACACTGCTCATTTCAATCAATAGCATACAATTATTTCTCTAATGTTCATAGGCATCTACTTTATTTCAGGAAAACTATTAAAATTGTGATGAAATTATTATAGGCAACAGCTTGTCCTTCTATCACAAATATTATTACAATAATTTTATAGCTGTTGAAAAAAAAGATCACTATGACTTCCCCCAAGTTTACTTACAAAGCAAATACATTCACTAATACTTAGTTAGAAAAAGGCGTCTTTGTGGAATAAATATAGGAAGGACACAGAAGGAAATGCATACAATGACTTCACCCTAGGATACACATAGGCCTTTGATGTGTTATTCCCAAACCTGGTGATGTTTAACTACTGCTTTGAACACAGCAGTTTAGATTTTAAAAATGTACTCAGAGTAATTGTGAAAAAAGGGTCATAAGTCACTTTTTTCAGTTCCGCTGTAAGATTGGTCACTAAACAAACTGTTGTAAATCGAGAACTATCTGTAATTTAAAGTAGTCTCAAGAAGGAAATTTAGTTGAATCTATGGTAGCAACAATAACAACAAATTCTGATGGCACTTGTGAAATGATGCCTGAACTCTACTTCATAAGCATTCAAGCAATAACATTCTTCCTACTTGATATCACAGGTTGCCCAACCAGCCATGCATTTCTTTGCTTTTTCTCCTCGCACTGATACATTTGATACAGACTTTCTGTTCTGATGAGCTTGGAAGTTTCAGGGAATTCCAGAGAAGAAGGAATTCTAATATTAAAATAAAAGGGTACAACACAGCATCCCTGAGTTATGCACATTGCCTTCCCTCCCCAGCAGTAAAACTGTGATCAGCATGGCAGGAAGACCAGCTGAAGAGCATGTTCAGATACTCTACCCCTCTATTGCATCAGTTTTGGAATGAGTTAGTGGTGTGGAGATGCATGCATGGAAAAGTCAGTCTGTTTAAACAGGTAGTCCTGGAATTACGACCCACAACTGAGCTCAAAATTTATGTTGCAAAGTGAAGCATTTAACTGAGTTTGCCCCACTTTACGACTTTTCTTGCCACAATTGTAAAATGAATCATTGCATTTGTTATGTTAGTAAGATGGTTGTTAAGTGAATCTGGATTCCCCACTGTTTGTAAGAAAGTCCTAAAAGGGGATCCCATGACCCCTAGGATACTGCAACCATCATAAATATGAACTAGTTTCCAAGCATCTGAATTTTGATCACATGACCATGGTGACTTTGCAAGGGTTGTTAAGTGTGAAAAGTGGTTTTTAAGTCACTTTTTTCAATGCCAGTGTAACTTTGAACGGTCACTAAATGAACTGTTGTAAGTCAAGGACTCCCTGTACTTTGAGCATATCTTTTGTAATGCACAAAAGTATATGCCCCATTGGAAACTCCAGTAGTAAGCCAAGAAGTGGTTTGCATGTTTGTAGTTGAGTAAATTCTGTGGACTCAAATTTGTGCAGCGTGTTAATAATCTATGGATTTATTGTGTTGCCTTAGTACACCCAATATAGATTTGTCAGTCAATCTTTTTTTTTAAGACGGTCACGGATTTCTGAAAGGGAAAAATATATGTGAAAGTTTAATGCGAAATGCACGAACACTTGGCACGCAGAAATCCCACATTTGACCCAACAAGATTAAGGCACCTCGGCCACCAGGACGCCTCGTTGACCGCAACCCTTCAGTCCTAATCACAAGGCCAAGAGACGACTGGTGAGGAAGATAGGCCGATTCCCATCAGGTGACTGTGTAGGGGGCGGGTTTGGGCTGGGCTTCTTTTCACGTGATCCAGTCGCTGGTTCATATTTTTCCGCCCGCTCATCAGCGGCTCCAGAGTAGTTCCTTGTTCTTCGGGTCTGCACGACAGCGGATGAAACGAGGAGAAATGTTGGCCGTCACTCTGCTTTTGCTTCTGGCCGTCGGCTCCGGGGTATTGGCCGAACCCGTTAGGTTCCTGGATTGTGGTGAGTAACTCTTTCGCAATGTGATTGTTCTGGGTCCTTTAACTTCCAGCACCGCCAGAGTTGTCACTCCTGCTCTTAGGGATCACATGGCGCTGTGATGCTTGCAGTGATTCCCCCGGACAGAGAACTCGGGTGGGTGATCTCTGTAGGCGGGTATGAAAAGTGGCGAGAAGCCTTGTGCCTAAAGAGGCAAGGCAAGCGCCCACCGTCATGTTTTTCGGGTTGTGGCAGCCCCAGAAAGCAGTAAAGAGACCAGTTCCCCAAAGCGTCTCTGCTCCAAGGTAACTGGGAATCTTGTGATCAAATTATTTGGGGGTTCATTCTATTGTTAGCAGGAAGAGTT